AGAAAGAAAACGGTCGGTTTGGTTTGGGGTTTACGCAATCTTCCCCTTTTTTGTGTGCACGTTTGAAACCAAATCCACACTTGGAAAAAGAAAAAGCTAAAAGTAAAAGTGATCAAAGCACGAGTCTCGCCCACGCAAGCTTCTAGCCCAAAACCTAATTCACCAAACTTGGAGAAATGAAAGAAAAGAGAAGGCGCCCAAAGGGTCAAATGACGTCGACCGGGTGCACTGGGCAATCTATAGTATAGGTTTAGGTTTCAGGTTTGTGGGCGTTTTTGCACTCGGTAGCAGATAACGCTAGGCTCGTCGTGGGATGGAGAGAAACGAAAGAGAGAGCACCCACCTCGAAAGCAGACATGGCAAACGCGAAAACGTCGGATGGTTTGGAGGTTGTCTGTGAGGATAAAGGTGGTTAGCTTGGTGCGGGAGCTGTGCGAAGGGAGCACTCACCCCCTTCCAAGCCTCTGGACTAAAGTACCTATGATTCTCTGGGTTCTTGCTCGACTGAATCTCTACAACTCCATAATCCGCAACACAAGCATGTCCATCTTCTTTAACGAGTATATCCGATGTTTTGAGGCTTCCATGTATGATATTGTGCTGCCAGACATGAATAAGAGTAAGCAAAGAAAGCAAAGAACACGTACAGAGTGAAGAAACTGCATCCCCAACGCAACATCCAACGCCAGCATCGGTCTATCCGCATTCGGATTCTCATCCAAATACCCCCTCACATCCCCACTCTCATGCAACTCGCTCACTATAAACAACGGATCTGCGTCTTCCGGTGATACCCCAAACACTCTCAGCACATTTGGATGATGGAGAGATTCCCAGAGTGAAGAACGGGAGATGAGTGAAGTGGGTTGGGCGTCTTGAGAGAGGACTTTGATGGCTACGAGGTCGGTGCCCATGGTTGCACGGTAGACATTTTTGGATCGAGTGCGACCTCGACCGAGGGGGGAGGATTGGTCCACCTGGATTTGGTCGGGGCGGATTAGGGCCATGGTGGAGGAAAAGAACGTCAAAGCTGTGCTGTTTTTGGAACCGACTGGTTTCACAGGACAAGCGCGGAAAAAATGGATAAACGCATCTATTCTCGACTCCCTGGTAGTATATCGGTTAGTACACGCGCCTGTCATCATTTCGTTCCTTGGTTCCGCGCGAAAGCTGGGTTCGACTCCCAGCCAGGGAGATCAATGGTTTTCATCTTTTTGTCAAAAACTCAACAGTAATTTTATATTTGTACACATAATATTAGGAGCTCAGCACTCATTTTCCTTCAACTCCCTCTTCTGATCTTTATAGTCTTCCACAAACGACCGGAAATCCCGCATGTTTCCAATATGTTTCACCATTTCATCCTTCCAGTCAAGAAAGTTATAACAGCAATACCTAGAATCACATGGAGGACTAGGTAAAATCTCGAAAAGATTTTCAAAATGCGTTATTTCCAAAGGTTCATTGTTGATGATTTCTTTTACAGAATAAATGGCACAGCGCCAACCTGCTTCGTGAAAAACCATCCACGGTGCTCCCAAGATCAAGGCTTTATCAAACTGATTGTGCATTTGTAGCCATTGTTCGCGATACATAGTCTGTAGAAAGAATTAACTGATCATAACATCAATGCCCGGGGAATCATGCTCACCCAAGGAACGTACAAATCAAGAGGAAGTTTATGTATCATATCAAGGAGCGGTTTGGAAACTAAACGTGGAGCAACTGCAACAATCAACCCCTCATGTCCATGCTCACATGCAAACTCGATAAATTCCCTATCATTTAGCAGTCAATTTCAGTATTTTTAGACTCTAAACTTGAAGCAGCATACTTCGTTCTAATTATGCAGATAGAAATTGCATTATGAACATTATACTTGTGTGCAGCCTCAGCCAACCCAATGAGCGACACAAAGGGAAAGTTTTCGAGATCAGGGGGAGGCCTGCGTTCGATGAATTGGAATAGAAGCTTCAAAATGGAAGAGGGTTCGGGCAAAGTGATTGGACCTTCTGTTTCACAGGACAAGCGCGGAAAAATGGATAAAGGCGGCTGTTCCCAACTCCCTGGTAGTATATCGGTTAGTACACGCGCCTGTCATGTCTCCGATAGTAGTTCCGCGCGAAAGCTGGGTTCGACTCCCAGCCAGGGAGCTATGCTGGGTGTATGTGTCTTTTTTATCCTGTCAAATTGAGTGATGTGTCCCCTTGTCGGTCATGTTGCATATACATATTACAACTAGCGAAACATTATACAAATAACAGTCTATTACAATGTAACCTCTTCTTTTGTCTCCAGAATACTATGGAGCTGGCTCACCCGGGGTATGAATCTCAGCCTGAACGGAATTGGTGTACGTCCCGAAAGTCCATCATATTCCTCCAGTGAGATAGGCTCATCTGGGAGGGCCTCAAAATTGAATGCCCACAGTAGCCGAGAAACCGCCAGCCATAATTCTCTCTCTGCAATTGGAAGTCCAGGACAAATGCGACGGCTATGTTTTTCATTTATAAATCATCAATGATAGACAACACCAATACGGTTACTTACCCAGCTCCAAATGTCCAGTGATCTCGTTCCATGGCATTGGCCAGTTTAGCAGATTCTGCACAGCTCAAGTTATCTCCCAGGTAACGTTCGGGTTTGAATGCGAATCTGTGGGATGAGATGGTATATGCAAAGTAGATGCGGTGGGGAGTAACTCACGGATCCGGATACCGCTCTTCATTGTGATGAAGAGTATAACAATTAAGTACAACTACTGTATCTGAGTGAAAGCGTGAGTATCATTAATTCAAAAATAAACCTTGGAATTAACCTTTGGGAATATAAATGCCATTGTAGGTAAAGTCTTCACTGGTACAATGTGGGGTCGCCATCCAAGAGGGAGCATGCATTCTCTGAACCTGCGAGCAATGTCAAATTTGCCAAGTTGTGATTAAGCTCACTTCTTTAATTATAGCCCGAATATAAGGAAGATTATCCTCATCTTCTGCAGTCGGCCAGCGATCCCGTCCAACTACCCGGTCTAGTTCTTCATGTGCTCTCATTTGTATATCAGGGTTAGAAGGAATCAACGCAAGGAACCACTGGATTATTCCCGATGTCTAGAGGGCTAATCAATAGCCAAACTTGAAAAGTAAATATTTGATAAACTCACCGAATGAACTCCACCCAAAGTGAAAACTGCTGCGAGCATGCAAAGATCTTCCCAATCAAGCTTCTCCTGTTCTTGGTTTTGGATCAGAGTCTTGACTAGACAGTCTGGAACGTCTTCGCCCGAGTCCATTCGGGCCTTGACACGTAGAATCATGTTACCGTACACTTCAATGAGACCGTCGTGAAGTCTACGGCCTCGAGTCCGGGTTTGAGTTGGAATGTATTGTAATGGTTCAAAGAAATCAATCATGTTACTCCATGGACCTTTGGTCAAAAAGTTTAATTGTCACAACTGAAAAGGCATGTTTTTACTTGCCTGTCAAGTCCATAAATTCCATAGCAAGATCCAGAGCCCTTTCAATTAATGGATCAGATGTCGAATCTGTTCGTGTTCCAAAGGAGATATAAAGCATATTGCTAACAGAAGACTATCAGGCAATGGAGATGTCGACAGAAAGAAAAATACACATACTTCAAAGCATATCGACCACTGTAATGAGCGGGATTTATCGGTTGCTTTCCATGAAGAGTTCCTTCGTAAAGTGACTGAGTAAGGACATGAGCTTCATGGTCCAATACATGAGCATAACCGTTGATAGCTTTTGGATTGAGAACACTAATTGCAATTTTACGGTGTTGCCTCCTGTTAAGAACAGTCAATCAATGCCTAAGCAACCCAAGAAGATGGTTCAGGAACCTTACCATCTATCCCCATATGCAGATGCTGTGATTGCTCTGCCGTTAAGAATGATCTGGTTCTTCATAAAATACTTTTTGCGGCTTGAAAAAACAGATCCGTTTGTAACAAGGAGATCACGAGCAACATGAGGATCAGAAATCACGACAAAAAGTTGAGTTCCCATCCAGATGGAAAATAGGGGTCCGTATGTCTTTGCCCAGGCATCTAGAGCTCGTTCGGGGTATTTTCCGAGGAATGCATAACGAACAATTGGTCCAGGTGGAATTTTGTGACCATCCTTGTCAACGACTAATTTTCTGAGGATGATGGGGCTGAAAAAGAAAGCAAGTGTAGAGACAATAACCAAGATCTGTAGGTTCAAAATTTCAGTTTTTCAATAGGGATTAGAGGGTTTACAACTGACGAGGGGTGTTGTCAAGTTGAAAAAAGGCAAGAAAGTCATAATGCTTGATACAGAAGCCAGATTTTCCTATGAGTGCTCAGGAAGCTGCCGGGACACCTTATATACTCTGAGATATCCGGAATTTGTACTCTGTCACCAAGTACCTGTATTGTAGCTCCAGAGAGTTAACACAAGTCAATAGGGTAGATTATTATGCAGATCTTGTTTTATATTTTGCGTCTGCAATCTTCATGGGGTATATCCGGAGCATCTAAGCCGTGCCTTAAAAAGATGTTCCAACAAGCAATCTCCTTCTATGGTCCAAGAAAAACTTGAAAGCTAGGTCAGAACGCGTCGGACCGGGTGGCTACAGCCAACAATTCAAAATTCTTTCTTACATTTTCCGACCTGGCGGGAAAGAAATGGAGACGTTTCCCATAAAGAAAGTCCACTGCGTTTTGGTACCATTGCGATTGAGAAGAGGGGTGCGGGTTCCGGTAAATGGCATTCCGATGTAGTAGCTACACTGAACTGTTTTCCCTTAAACCAATGCGAAATATGCAAAGGCGCAGAATGCCGTGATCTTCGGCGCAGGTGTAGAGATTTTGGCATAGGTAGACAAAATCCCTGCAGGTGAAGCATACACTTTCTTGTTCTAAGCAACAAATAGCTAATTACTTGAAAATAAAACTGTCGGTCCCTGACATTGCTCCTTGGTGCCGCCACACTCGCCAAAAGGCGATCTCTCATTTCAGTAACTCCCTGGTAGTATATCGGTTAGTACACGCGCCTGTCATCATCACCGAATTGCAGTTCCGCGCGAAAGCTGGGTTCGACTCCCAGCCAGGGAGCTACTAGTTGATTGTATTCTTTTGTTCAAGAGTAAATTTTATATTTGTACACATAATATTAGGAGCTCAACACTTCAACTCCCGCTCCTGATCTTTATATTTATAGTTTTCTACAAATGACCAGAAATCCCACATGTTTCCAATGTGTTTCACCATTTCCTCCTTTCAGTCCAGAAATTTACAACAGCAATACCTAGAACCCAGTTGGTCCAAGTCATATTTATCCCGAGATCAAGTCACCACAACACACATTGACTTTGATGGGATGTTCAGGTTGTGTTCCTCCTAAGATACTTCAATGAAGTCTAGATAAATATAGTCCATTTCTTGTACAAATGATCAAATGCAATGTGGTCTAAACTGGATTAAAATTTAACTGTTATTATGTTGCTGCATACATTTATTAAAAATACTTTTTCTCCTTGCACAAAGAGCACTTTTCTGATGTTTGGTTGTTGCACTGCTTCTTTTTGATCTTAAGAAATAGAATCAACATTTGTAAATTTACAATCACTCGGTCATTGTCGTGAAGATTAAATACCAACATTTTATTCCGATTACTAATATTCATTTTTCCTTTATTTTCAGACATTTACATTTGTATGTTCCTGTTTACCATTACCTTTAAAACTTTAATTCCAAACCTTAAACCTTAACCACGCAGTGCGCGCAGCCTTATCGCTGCCTCGCACCTTTACACCTTGTATACACCTTTCTTTCATTTCCCTTTCGATCATACTTGCCACAACCTTTCCATAGCCTTACCACAATCTTTCCCGAACATGCGTTAGTAGTGCTGTAGGCCCTTAGCCCTAGTTTCACATCTCCGATCTCTGTACAACCGTATTTAAACTCCGTAACCTGTAACCTAGTCCTCATCTTGACCTCTTGGTCTATTCGGACTAGGTATGCTTTGTATTCTTTTACTCTCCTAATCTAACTTGGTCTATTCGGACTAGTCTACGTTAAGGTCTCTCATTCTCGTCTCGCTCTCGCTTGCCCTCTCATTGTCGCCTCTTCACGACATTAGGTCAAGATCCTTCACTGCACCTGTCTATCAAGAGACCTGTGCAGACACGCTGTACTCGTTGGTATCCCAATCCCTTTCCTCCCATATCCCCAAGGGCCCACAAGCCCGTCGACTCTAGCCTGTGTGAGGAGCCTCACAGGTGGGCAGGTACGAACAGTTCAAGGAGCTGTTGCGTAAGGTCATCCCCCGTCTACACGAACTTCGAAACATAAATCCGGACTCCCTATAAAGGAGTAAGGTGGTTGCCTGACTTCGTAATTGAAATCAGCCTTCAACCCTACCAACACGAGAAACAATCATGTCTGATCCCACTACCTACGAATGCTACAAACTCCCACATGGAGTAGACCTCACTGGAAAGCGACACGTGCATGTCAGAGCAGACGGGAAGTTTTGGCCTTGTCAGGAACAAGTCTGTCCCAACGCCTTCTTCCAAACAATTAGCGAACCTACTACAGCCACATGGGACAACATCAAACACGAAATTATTCCTGTTCCACCGAAACAACCACCTAAGCCCCTGACACCACCAAAGGATGAGAACATGGATGACATGTCCAAAGATGACCTCATCAAGTTCCTCATGAAACAGCAGCTCATGCTCCAGAACAAAGTCCCCCACCTCGCTCACTCTATCAGTAAAGCCGATATCGCAGAGAAGAAGGACAAGAAAAATGCCAACGCTAAACCTGCCCCCTTTATGGGCAAAGGAACGGATGTCTGCCGCTTCCTCGCCTTTTTCCAGAACTGGGCGGGAAAGCAAGAAGGGATCCGAAACGCTCATGACTGGATCGCCTCTGCCCTGTCCTACATGACAGAAGACGCGGCAGACTGGGCGGCCCGATATGCAGATCAGGTGTTCCAACATTATGCAGACCCCACCAAAACCTCGTTTCCGTTTAACGGAAAATGGGACGAGTTTGTCAAAGCCTTCAAAACTAGGTTCGGATCCTTAGACAAAGAATCGGAAGCCAGGAAGGAGATCCAGGGAAAGGATGGCAAGGGAATGAAGCAAGGGAAGCAGACGGTGGCACAGTTTGCACAGAAATTCCAAGACGTAGGATCCAGAACTGGGTTCTCGGATGCCGACCTCTTAGAACGATTCTGTAATGGACTCAATCACGGCATTTGGCTCCACATGGTGAGCATCAACATCACACAGGGAAAGCCCAAGTCCCTGACCCAAGCCATCTCGCAAGCCATTGAAATCGAGCTGGCCCTCCACGACCCCACCTACAACGCCACTAACAATCATTGCACTGACCCAAATGCCATGGACGTGGATGCTACCTGAGTTGGAAACAGAGGAAGAGGAGGAGGAGGAAACTGGAATGGGAAGAGCCGAGATGACTTTCTTAGAGAGATGAGAGGACGGTGCTTCGGATGCGGAAGCCAGAGCCATGTACGAGGAAACTGTAACATGAAAAATGAGAAATGTCGCCACTGCGCCCGAACCGGGCATGTGGAACGAGTTTGCCAAGACAAGTACATGGGCTTAGAGAAGAACCGAGGTGCTGGAAAGACAGGAGGAGGAGGAGCACGCATATTGGCCAACACAGAAACCCCATTCTCCTTATTCGACAACGCCCCCCCAACAACAAGCCCTTCTCAACCTTTGAACCGCATCAACCACTCCACCGATGAGATCAAAGCCTTGAAGGAAGCCATGGCTCAGCAGACAGCTATACTCGCTGCATTTATGAAGGAGCATAAGGATTTTTAAAGCCAGTACCGGACTCTGCTGCACCCCGAGTGCCTCATACATTTCAGAACTTTCGCTTTTCCTCTAACTACGATTCGATACACGCATGTACTTTAAATATGACTTCGGAAATAAAGCCAGGAGCTTCGCATTATCGAGTCAATGTGTGTCTTCAAGAGAAAGGATTGCAACTGGATGTAGCAGCAATGGTGGATAGCAGAGCAACTGCGTTGTTCTTAGATGAAAGATTTGTTCAGAAACACAAGATCCCTACCTTCCTAATGAAAAAGGCCCTGCTGATTTACAACATAGATGGAACGGAAAACCGGGCTGGGAAAATAGAAAAATGTGCGAACCTAAGGTTAACGGTAGACCAGATGAGCGGATGGATGGACTTTTTAGTCACGGATCTAGGAGGAGAAGATGTGATCTTAGGATTACTGTGGCTAAGAGAGGCTAACCCGAGCATAGACTGGAAAAAAGGCCTACTACAAGTTCGAGGGAGGAGTGACCGCATCTATGACGATGACGACTTCTGGGCAACGGAAGAAGATGTGAAAGCCGGAGCAACGAAGGAAGAGGAAGAAGGACCTCTGCTAACCCCGGTGAAAATTAAAGCGAACCGAAAACAACGCAGAGAGTGGAGGAGAGAAGGAGTAATCGAGGAACTAGAAGACGAAGTATGGTGTGCAACAGGAGTAACTTACTCCCAGCAAATCGCAGAAGAAGCTGCGAAAGGGAAGGAAAAGAAGACATTGGAAGAGATGATACCGGAAGCCTACTGAGAGTTCCACAAAGTTTTCTCCGAGGAAGAATCCGAAAGACTTCTGGCCCATCAGCCCTGGGATCATGCAATCGAGTTGATACCGGGAGCCCCTGCCTCCATTCGAACCAAAGTGTACCCCATGTCGGTGAATGAACAGAAAGAGCTGGAAAGATTCTTAGAAGACAACCTGCAAAAGGGGTACATTCAGACCTCTAAATCCCCCGTCGCCTCCCCTGTGTTCTTTATCAAAAAAAAGGACGGCAAGCTTAGATTCGTTCAGGACTATCGGAAACTCAATGAATTCACCATTCGAAACCGATACCCTCTACCCCTAGTCCAAGACATCATTAATCGACTTCAAGAAGCCAAGTACTTCACCAAGTTTGATGTCCGATGGGGATACAACAACATATGAATCCGAGAAGGAGATGAATGGAAGGCAGCCTTTGCGACCAACTGAGGGCTGTTTGAGCCAAAAGTGATGTTCTTTGGGCTGACCAACTCGCCCACCACCTTTCAGACTCTTATGAATTCTATTTTCGGGGACCTAATCGCGGCAGGAAAAGTGGCCGTATACTTGGATGATATCCTCATCTTCATGAGTACCAGAGAGGAGCATAGAGAGATCACGAGGGAAGTCCTTAGAAGGCTAGAAGAGTATGATTTATACTTAAGGCCGGAGAAGTGCAAGTTTGAAAGAGAGGAGATCGAGTATCTAGGGCTCGTAATTAGATGCGGAGAAGTGCAAATGGACCCAGCCAAAGTAGAAGCCGTTAGAAAATGGCCTGTACCCAAGAGTATCCGGGAAGTACGAGGCTTCATTGGATTCGCCAATTTCTACAGGAGATTCATACAAGGATTCTTGGACGTGGCAAGGCCCCTACATGACCTCACAAAAAAGGGAGTTGTGTTCCAATGGGGACTTAAACAACAGCAAGCCTTCGAAGAACTTAGGGACCGATTCATTTCAGCCCCGATACTTACGTTGTGGAACCCGGATTGGCCCACTCGTATCGATGTAGATGCCTCAGGTTTTGCCACAGGAGGAGTTATTATGCAGAAACTCGAAGATGGACTTTGGCACCCTATCGCGTTCCGATCCACTTCCATGGATGAACACCAGCGGAACTACGAGATTCACGATTGAGAAATGCTAGCAATTATCGAAGCTCTGAAAGAGTGGAGACACTACTTAGAAGGACTCCCGGAGCCGTTCGAAGTAATCACCGATCATGATAACCTACGCTACTGGAGAACGGCCCAGGACCTGAGTAGAAGACAGGCCCGATGGGCCTTGAAGCTAGCCAACTTCAACTTCACACTAATACACAAACCAGGCAAAACCAACGTCTTAGCAGACGCCCTGTCCCGCTCTCCGCTACACCAAGTTTCTGACGAGGAAGATAATATTAAGCGGACGGTACTACGACCGGAGCACTTCATAAAACTAGCCGCATCCCATTTTAATAACCCATTGGAAGAAAAGATCTGCCGAGCCGCTG